GCTAACATCAAGATTAATTAATCGACACAAAGTCATCATAGCGCACAGACCTATTGCTACACTGAGTGGGCTGCTTTCAAGACCAAAGAACAAAATCAAACAAGGGAATCAAACGCATGTAATCTACAGGATAAACCGCAGTGAATACGCTCAACACTACATAGGACAAACAGGAAGAAAGGTTTCCACCCGGATCACAGAATCATGCGGAGGCGTGACCTCTATTCATTGGTTTCGATATACAAGGTTGAAGCTGGGTATCATTTTGACCTGCAAAACGTAAAGATTCTAGCATATAGGAATATGAAGCAGGCAAGAGAATTCTTAGCAGCGTGGTACTCTGCAAAGAATTCGATCAATCGGCACGTTGGGTTGGACGCCATCTAGCGGTCTATTCATCATCGCTGCCTACGTGCCCACAAACTGTAGCGATGGTTCGGTAAAGAACGACTTCTACCGCCAACTGACCCAGCTCCTTCGCTACAGAAGAAGCACGGACACTGTTGTGTTGGCGGGGGATATGAACGCACAAGTTGGAAAGTTGTCCACTGATGAAATGCATCTGGGCGGTCAGCACGGTGTAGGCTCCCGTAATGATAACGGTGAGCGGTCACTTCATTTGTGTGAGGATGCTCGCTTATTTCTTGCGAGCACTAATTCCGACACAGCACCCGCCGGAAGGTGACTTGGCGCCCACCAGCCTCGAACCAGCTGTGGACGCAAATCGATCACATTACTATCAGTTACCGCTGGAGAGGCTGCGTTTAGAACTGTCGCTCGATTTGGAGCACAGGTGTTGACACCGATCATGCACTTGTATGTGCTGACCTGCGGATGCGCTTTGGCGGACGCCCGCGACGATGTTGTGAGCGCATTGACACCGGCAGACTGTCGAAGGCAACTGTTCTGAATGCCTATCAAATTACGCTGTCATCCGAGTTGGATAAACGCTCACTGGATGCAATTGAAGCTCACTGGTCTCATATGCAACAGGCCTTACTAGCAGCAGGTAGATCCTCATTTAGTATGTCTAATCGCCAACATGAACATTGGGTCCCCACAGTCTCTGGAACTTATAGATGCTCGCCGGCATATTCCGGCTGGAAGCGAACACAGTGAAACTCGCAAAGAGCTCCGGGCAAAACTCCGTGCTAGCCTGAAGAGAGACCGCGAATCCTGGTGGTCTCGTCGTGCAACAGAGATGGAAATGGCCGCTGCCCTTGGTAACCATCGTGAGTTATTCCGTCTGATACAGGAAACGGGCAGCAGGAGACCTAGTGTTAGTGAAACCATTTGTGATGAGAGTGGACAGCCTATCCACAATTTGTCAAAACGTTTGGAGCGTTGGGCTGAGCATTTTGAAATGCAATTTAATCGGTTAGAATTGTTCGATTCTTCGCCGGTCACTGATCGCCCTGCTCCGTAGGCTGTCCCTTTGGATCCACCCTCTTGCTCAGAAGTCGAACGTGAGATCGGACGGTTGAAGTTGAACGAAGCCGCGGGACCAGATGATCTTCCTCCAGCCCTCTTCAAATTCGGAGGCTCTGCTCTTGTTGATGCTTTACATGAATTTCTAGTGAAACTGTGGGAGCAGGAGGCTGTTCCAACCGACTGGAGCCGCTCCGTTATTGTTTTCATCTTCAACGGCGGCTCGCGCTCGGAATGCGGCTACCATAGAGGAATCAGTCTGATCTCCATCGCCTTAAAATTACTCGCCTCTATGATTCTTCACAAACTGTCTGGCGCTCGTGAAAGCCAGATTCGTGAAGAGCAAGCCGGTTTTCGTCGTGGTCGTGGCTGCATCGTCCACAACTTCACCTTGCGTCAGTTGTTGGCGCACCGCCACACATATTGGCGGCCCACCCTAGTCGTGTTCCTTGACATCAAAGGTGCGTTCGATCCGGTTGATTGATGTGCCCTTTGGAATTGTTTACTCTGGAAAGGTGTGCCTGAGAAATATGTGAATATTATCCGAGCATTATACGCGCGTAGCTCGGGCAGAGTGAGGGCTTACGGCAAGTTGTCGCCACCCTTCAATATCTCCAGCGTTGTGAGAGAAGGATGCCCGTTGTCACCTTTCCTCTTCAACTTCGCTATTGACGAAGTCATGGAGATGGAATTTACAAAACACGACTTGGAAGGTGTGGAGCTACTCCCTGGAGAACGACTTCTTGACTTTGAGTATGCACACGACATTGCCCTCATCTGTGACAGCTCCCAGACGTGCCAACCTGCGCTGGACAGATTAGCACTGGCTGTCAGCCGCTTCGGGCTTTGCTTTGCACCATAGAAGTGCAAAGCGTTTCTCCAAGGTTGGCAGGGATCGCCTCCTGCACTGACCCTTGGTGGGGATCAGCTAAAAGTCGTGCAGAAATTCAATCACCTGGGAAGTTGTATCAGCGCCCGTGAGATCGAAGACGAGATCACGAACCGTATAGCGATAGCTTGAAGTGCTTTTGCTAACCTTCGCCACCTATGGCGGCGGCGCGACATCACTCTCGCCCTGAAGGCTAGATTGTACAATGCAGCGGTACGTTCGACCCTACTGTACGGTTGCGAAGCCTGGCCCCTAAGGTCGGTGGACATGTAGAGGCTAGTTACGTTCGACCATCGGTGCCTTCGCAGTCTGGCTCACATCTGGTGGGAACACCGCGTGACCAACGAGCGTGTTCGACGCATTGTTTACGGCCCAGGAAAACGATCGGAACCGCTCAGCACCGTTTTTTCCTACACCAGGCTCCGATGGCTCGGTCACGTTTTACGCATGCCAGCCCACCGGCTCCCGCGACGTGCGTTGTTTGCTCACCGGGGATGTGGGTGGAAAAAGAGGGGAGGTGGTCAAGCAATGACTTGGTCCAGGGGAATGAAGTCCCTCACTTCGGAGCTAGCCTCGGTTGGAGTGTCACGGCTCCCTGGCTGGGGTCCGAAAGACGGTGAACACGTTTGGCTGGATACACTTGCTGACATGGCAAGGAGCCGACCTCAGTGGCGTTCCTGCTGAGAGTTTCTTTGTCCCTTCCCATCCCTTTTAGCCTCCCCTCCATCTACAATGGCATTTCGTAGGGTAAAACAATAGAAAAATTTTATTTTTGCCTAGTAGCTGGCTGGAAGCTTACCGGAACGATGCCTATCCGTTGCTGGTAGCTCAGCTGGCATGCAACTGTTGTATCTATTTTTCCTTTGTGTATTGTATTATATATGTGTATGTATGTATTTCCTTCATGTATTGCGGCACAATAGCGGAGGTGTTTTCCCACCTCTAGCTAATGTGTATAATGATGATGATGATGCAATCTACACAAATCTACGAGCAAAGGACGAACACCGCAGTCGTTTAACCTCATTGGAAAAACGCGGCATACAAACCGCTCGCTCAACGTTCTCAGCAGAGGAGACAAACGGGTCGTGCTCATGAGGTGCAAGTCGAAGAGGCCATTTTCAGAGGTCACGTACCCAAACGGAAGATGAGGATGACGTATGGAATGGCACGCGCGTGACTACCCAGTTGACACTTGATTACGCGTCGCCATACCACACTGCACCACGCACTGATAAGTACACCTGGACTGGTGACGAAACATTTGCGAAGTTGTTTCTAAGTTTCGAGAACAGTTCGACTGACAAATGAACAACCTGAGCTCCCAACATTTACTTACATGTCATTGGTTCTATTCATCCATTGTGGAACGAGCTGCGGCCTAGCCACCACTTTGTGTACGTCTGATGCGCATGATTTCCCATTTAGGCATGTATGCTTTTGCTCTGTTTGTTGAAGGAGGGTGGGCTTACTTCGTTGGTGAACCGTGGTTTTCATCCACTCATATGTAGGTTCTATTCTTTCGGGTTTAATCTGGCTATGGTATGTAGGGATGAAGCTGTGGGTGGTTCTTCGGAAGCCACACGTGGTCGCTCTGTTGGCGCACGCGTTCTGTGGCTGTCCTATGCAAGCCTCAGTGACAGGCAAACCTGTAACTGCATGCTGGCGACCATATAATGGGTTTAGGATATTCGTCGAAAAGAAGTGTTTTCGCTGAATTGAAGGCGCCTACACTGGGAGCAACCTCTTATGTTTTCGGATGATAGTGACCTCTTAGTTGAACATTATTCTAAACCCAGTACAGCGACAGCCCGTGGGCTGTTGGTAAGGTGCTTGTCTCGTAATCTTGCGGAACGGGTTCGAATCCGCGTATGTGTGGGCGTTCTCGTTTGTACTCAACCCGCATGCGACTGGTGATGTTCGGACGGCAGCGAAGCACCGTTACGACGTACAGCTGACACATTATTGCTTTTTATAACGACAACTCTGCAACGGTGCATGAACTCCACAATCTTATGCTACGCTTCTTCATCGCTTGGGAGACTACGAATAAGTTACTGGAGATGCATGGCTACTCAAAAACAGTGCATCGGTGAGGCCGTACGTTGTCTATTTGAACAGACATTTTTAGCGGGAGGATGGCTAGCAGCTACAAGTAAAACACGTACAGGGTATCCAGAAAATCAAGCCGATTGGATGCAAGAATATAGGGATGTACTGACAATAAGCAACCGGAATGATCGGAGAGACAAGCAAGACAGCTTGTGGGACGCAGTACGAACAGGACCTGCTGTTGTTAGCACCAACAATTAGATCCCATGTACACAGCTGGACCGATTGTACTTTCTACTTGATATGATTCCGTGGGAAACCTACTCTTCTGTCTACACTTTGCGTCACGAGGGCACAGCGGAATGTTGGGACTTCGTCTTACGCGCAAATTTGATATTAAGTCTTTATTCCCATTGATAACTCACTGCTCTTCGTTCTACACCTCAGCATTACGAAATATTTATGGAGTACGGTCAGTGTTTCACGTTACGAATCCTCTAAGTAGTTGATCATTATTATGACCTGCCTGTACCGCAATATGGGTACAACTTGGTAACAGCTTTTTTCCATCCTTCACGTTTCTTTCTTTGTGACCCATCTGTAATTGCTCACTTTCTCTCTTTCCATGCAGAGAAACGCTCCCATACCTGCGAGCGCTGTGGCAAATCGTTTTCCGAGAAGAATGCTTTGCAGAAGCACATCCGCTCTTTACATTTGCGTGAGTGTTTACCTGATGGCATCATTTAAGTTTGATTTCACCACTTGTATTACGCCATGTTGGATGTTTTTACTTGGTTTCATCCGAATCAGCATTGCGTATTTTCACGGTGAATCTGAATGCTGTTGTGCAAAAGTTCCTACTTCTTATACTAGCTAGTTTAAGGTGGAGTTAAGTGGTGTCGTGTATCATTTTGCTTTCCTGTACTAGCGGCTCTAGGAGCGGTCTAGTATGCGGGGCCAGTTTAATTGGTTCACTTCTATAGCAATCGGTTTGCTCATCTGTTGTTTCTCTAAGAACCATTCAGACGCCTTATTCCAGGCAGACAACTGACGTTTCAGCACATTCGGCCTCCCACGAGTTGGTTGTCATTCTGGTGCAGTAATTGGAATCTATTCAGAGAATGGTAGCCGCTTCGTCATCCGAAGTTACTGGTAGTGTTATCGCCGGATCGAATGGACGTTAGAGCACTCTGTTCACATTTTGTTGGTTACAACACTCTGCTTCCTCACGTTGCGAGCTTATCCGGCATAGGTTAACGAGAGCAAATCTGAAACTGTTTTTACCTTCATAAAGGCTCAATCGATTTCACGAACAACTGAGATATAGGGCCTCTTAGGTCACTCTTTCGATACAAACGGTGAGGATCATCCGTCAGTAACGGAGCCACATGGACTGACTTCTGTGCATCCTTTGTTTAATTACCGAATCCGTCGGACTCGACTTCCTTTCATGCCGTTGGTCTACATGTGGATTTGACTTTAAGCCTACCATTGTCGGGTAAACGTTTGGCTATTTATTTTGTCAAATGACTTTGTGTTTGTCTATTTTTCTGTAATTGCTGCATGTTTTGTGACTGATAGTAATGCAAGAAATGGCGTCGTGATCTCACAAACTACGTTGTCTGATTCTTCTGTTCGGAATTATTAAGGGAACTTCTTGTTTCATTCCGATTGGTTCGATTTTATCCAGTCATATACGCACCTGCGGCCAGATCAACAATTCACAGGATGATTGGCCTGCGGCGTACTGCCGTGTAATGCAGTATTGGAAGTTTGTGAGGTATCTGACGTTGTTTAGACAATCCTTTGTTCGGTGGTGCGATCCTTTGGTCTCTTGGTGATAGATGTTACTGACTCAGCGTGATTGTTTCCGTTTTGTTTTTCTGTTTATCGGGTTTTTGGGTGTAGTAAAAGCGTTGAGGTCAGGTGTTAACCCGTTCTGGATTAATGACAGCCCTAAGTTCGTTAAAAATTGTATCAGCGGTACGCCGGTACGCACTACCGACGCTCTGCTGCCGCGTAAGCATGATGAATCGCGGTGAATTAAATATGCTGCGTGGGTCTTTGGGTCCCCTGCGCAATGTCATACCCGCCACATCTGGGTTGCACGACAGATTTGTGATCATTTAGGCTTCGATTGGTTCCCTCAAACTCCCGTTCTGGGATTCCAGATAGTATATATTCGTTTGATTGGTTGCAGTTTTGAATCGACGTGTGATGCGCTTCTCCGTCCCTGCCCTGCAATTAACGTCGTATTGTGTAATTCCGATAAGACATAGTACTTATATTTTTCCTTGCTTTTTGTTTCATCTAATTGCGTTGTATTGCGGTACATGTGCTAAAATGTTTCTTATTTCCTAGTTACCTGTGTCATGTTGATGAGGCTTTTTACAGCTAGTTTCAACTTTAATTTTTTTCTTGTGCTTGCACGCTGCTGCACTGCGGTGCAGTGTTTGGAGTGATCAGCCCCGATACCCGTCCACTTGCTCGACACTTCTTATCTAAACTCGATGGAGATCACGTTTATGTTGATCTTTTAATTCATCGCGATAACTGTACACCGCTGCAATCACCTTGACAGGGTAACTTGCATGTCGCTACACACTAAGTGGCAGTCTGCAATATGCGATCTATGTTTCGACTACTGATCATTCATAGTTTGCCTTCTTTTGTTTGCTTCACATAAACTCCATCTATCTGCAATTGTTTCTTTTGCGGAGGCGTCTACAGATTTGTTCATGCACTCAGTCAACCCTGGAACCCGTTGCGTAACGCCGTATTTGTCTCACATCGCAAATTACATTCCCTCTTTTGACACATCTGTAGCTTAGTAGTCCTATGTCATCTTGAGATAAAAAGCTGATCTTTTGTTCACTGGAAGGTTTCAGCTACAACTATATTGCTTAATTTGTCTAAATTGAATATATTTATAACTTGCACTGCGCACAAGGCGGTGAGTATTTCTGATGACATGTGTTGCATACGCTTTATCCAACTTGTCTCGGCCTGGCTGTTTCCTGGGCAACAGATGCCTCTGTTCGGTTTGGCCAGACTGATAGTTGCACCTGTCACTCCGCGCTGTGAACATGCTTGGCACCAGTGCACTTTCTTAGGACGCGCGACATCACAAACATGCAACGTCATACACCATTCCCTCGTACGCAATCAGGTACCCAACCGCGTATCGTCAGTGGTATACAGAACTCGCTTTACCTAGGAGGTTTCGGTTGTTGATTACCTCGCCACTCTAGGGTCGCTCTTGTCCTTGTTTGATCTCTCCTGTTCTAACGTGGCACTCGCTTTCTCGGTTGTACTGGGAACTCTGTCCACGTCTGGGACACATCATCATTCTGCGCGGTTATGGTCTTCCACCCCATTTCGCAGGAAGTCTCCTTTTTATCTCGCTCTTTCATGGTTGTTTAGCTATAGTTGGCGAACTATGTCTCGCACATAGTATGTGGCCAAAACGCGTCACGGTGTCTTCAAGTTCATTCTGTGGATCCTATGTACAGTTTTTGCATATTTGACACTTACATGCAAATCAGAACGTGAGAGCCTAACTTTAATCATGTCCTGGTAACGTAATTTCGGTTTACCCACATGTCGCTTCCCATTACTCGGCTGACCATATAAAAGTTGTTTCGGCATCCACTTAGAATCCATACCGCTCACATTACTGAGCCACCTCAGGTGTGTCAGCAAAAGTATGCAGTCCGCGGCATACAATCCAGTTCGACGCAACGCTTCCGCGTCTGCAACTCTGTTGCACCTACCGATCCGCAAAATTTGTCGCAAACACTGTTGATGGAACCGCTCGAAATATCGCACATCCCGCCGGTACATCGTCCACTTTTTGCTGCCGTATAGAACGGGTGGCACCATCGATTGGTACACCATCAGCTTCGTTATAACGGTAAGCTGGTGGTTGTTCCACACTTGGTGCTCTAGCGTCGCAAATGCTGCAGCTGCCTTCGTGACACGAATATGAAGCTCACCTTGTATTGGCCGTTCAGTTGAAACCACACTCCCAAGGTAGCAGAAGCGGGATGTGGTTTCCAATACGTCGTCACCAATGCTGATTTGCAACAACCTTGCAGCTTGCATCTCCGGTGAAGGCTGAAAGAGCCAGACAGTTTTGCTTGTGTTGATGGTGAGCCCGAATTTGGCCGCTGTCGAAGCCACAGCACTAGTCATGTGCTGCAACTCATCCGCGCTATGTGCAAACGACGCATAGTCGTCAGCGAACAGCAGCATACGGATAGTTGTCTCACAGGCTAGGGTTCTCGCATGAAACGACGAATGCTCAGCAATCGATCATCAACACGGTGCTCCACACGAACGCCGTAAGCACAAGCCGCATCAAAGGTACAAGGCATCATTGCATAAAGATGAATATTAAACAGGGCAGAAGCTAACATGCAGCCTTGCTTCGCACCAGTGACAGCTGCAAAGTCATCCGAGGTCTGTCTACTCAGCTGCACCCTCGCCCGCATACCACTGTGCAGACATTCAATTAAAATTGCAAACATTCTCTAACAACCAAAATAACCCGACACCAGCCACAATGCCTTGCGCTTCACCATATCAAATGTTTGGTGAAATCAACAAAAGAGAGTACAACGGCTGGTATCCTTCTCTACACTTTTTCTGCAACTGACGTGCCGCAAACACCATATCGATGGTGCTGCGACCCGAACGGAATCCACGTTAGGTTCCACAACCTGACTGACAACGCGGTTGAGCAGGATTCGGACAATCACCTTGCTCACACAACTCAACAAGTTAATACCACGCTAATTCGTGGCACATTGCTTGCTCCTTTGCCCTTTTGCAGTTAGCACGAGAGCATGTTTTACGACAGGAAGCACGTCCCCCTCAATCTACATGCTTGTACCAAGTGGTGCAGCGCAGTCACCATCGCGGGTCTGCCTTGTTTCTATACTTCAGGCAGGATTCCGTGGGCCCCGCCACACTTGCCGTTTCGCAGCTGAGCAAGTGCTCTCTGCGTCCCATCCAGTGTCGGCATGCCTGCTAGTCTCGCCTTTCCCTTGTGCTACTTCAGGCCGTTTAAAATAGGCTAGTCAGTCCCTGTCCGGTTGTTCATGAGGCAGTCAAAGTCTTTTTGCCAGATCTGCAGTCTGCGTGCAGGCAGCTCCTGGTTTAGCATCGATCAGCGTCCTCAGCTGCTCCAACCTCGGTCCATACACCGCCTTCAAGAAGTCAAAGAATTCCTTGTGTTGGCGACGTTCGGCGTAACATTTCCTCTGCCCCACCTTCTCCGTCCACCACGCATTTTTTATGCGATGGTGCTCACGGGTCAGCCACCTTCGAAGTTTGGGAAGTGACTACTCTTCCTCAAGTTACTGCGGTCTGCGACATGTACAACAAATGCTGCATTCTTCTCCGACATCAATGCGCCGATCGTCGCATTGTTCTCATCAAACCAATCAGCCGCTTCCACTTTGCGCACCCGATGGTCTCCTCGGCAGCAGCTATCACCTGGTCATGAATGTGGCGCCACAGGTCGCCCACTGTGGCTATGCATTCCATATCACACAGTCGTGCAGCCATCACCTTCTCCAGATCGATATGTTTTGCCACAGTACCGAAGGCAGAATGTTAAATTTAAGCCCATTCATGGCAGGCGTGAAATACATAGATTTACGAAAATATGTGTACAGTTTGGTCCGCACCAATTTGTGATCAGTGCCACACTCA